GGAACATTCTAGTTCCTTTTCTTTTTGTTTAAACTCCTGTCGTTTCATGCATCGACGCAGCATTATCGATTTTTTGACACCTTTAAAAATGCGGACTGCTCTTCACACAATTTCTGTTCCTGTTTCCCGAAGAATCTCTTCCATCAAATTATATTGCTCGGGATGCCTATTTTCAAATTCATACGAATGGAAAATACTCTTTTCCCTTTATGGAGCAAACGATTTTTTCACATTTGCTTGCATTAGGCGCAAGTAATTAACGCGATGTCTGTTCTGTTTCTAAATCACGAGGTTGCTGAAAATAGCATGCACAAGACAGTCTTGCCATATACTCAAAAGTGAAGTTGGCTGAGTGATACCATAGTAAGTCATACAACAGATAAAATAAAACTAGCTCACCTTTGTTTGAATATAAAATCATTACGAAGGCTGCTTACGTCAGGGCTGAAACGCTTTTGACTCAAAAGCCAGCTCTTTGGCATGCGTAAATCTTCTACAGGCTAATGCGTACTCTTGGCAGTTACACAGTCTTGTCTACTTGAGGATGGTCTAAATAGTTCAGTCGATGTTTCTTCATTTTTAGCACACTGCATGCTCAAGTGTTTCTCTTATTTCGAAACTATTTGATTCGCTTGTTTCCTGGAAGTTTAGAAACCTTTTCTGCACACCATCGGCTTCGGGACCGCAACAAAATCAACAGCCTCACAGATCAACACTCCTTTCCTCTGTATACAAAATAAATTATTTCAGTTTCTGCAGCAGCCATGGCCCAACATACACGCATTCAGTGCCACCTTATAATCGATCACGAGCAATTTGTGATTTCTGTCTCTCTCTCCCTTCTAATCTCAACATCGCTTATAATTATTCCTAATCCCAGTTACAATCAGCTAAATTTGCTGGGCACTTTAATTCCCAAAAGAAAGTACCTTTTCATACATAACGTTGTGCTATTAATCAGCATCTATGTTAACGCATCTTTTGTGCATTTGCTGTTGATGCAGAATCAATTAATGATCCCCTAGCCTAGGATGGCATGAACAGTTAAAGTAAAATAACTGTTCTGAAAGCACCTACATCCAAGGGTGTTCTCTACCTCAAATACACCTTTCTATCAAATATTAAATTCAAAGACGAATCTTTCTCCTAAACAGGCCTCAGTTATTAAAAAAACTTTACACCAGTATGAAAAAAAAGAGGTTGGATTACATGCTGCTTAAGTATCAGGTGTTTAGTGGTCTGATAGTTGGTAGGGGTTATTCTCAATGAAAACTTACAACCAAACGAGCGAAGTTAAAT